ATCCATCCATCCATCCATCCATCCATCCATCCACCTACCTACCTACCTACCACATTTCAGTCATTTCTAATTTCTAGATTCTGTCCACATTTTGTATCCTTTTTGGTATTAAATAAAGGAGACTATTTGTAGCTCAGGTTGAACTGTGCAGCCCTTAGTGCTCTCCGAGCTTGGTGCATGGATGCTGTTATCTAGTTGGGTGATGAAAAGCCTGCAAGAAAAGAACCAAGATCAAAGAACTACAACAAATAAGTTAATTGGCCTGGGTTGCCACTTCATTTTTTTCCCTCCTTAGTTCCATGCATTTATATCAGACAGGAAGAAATCCCAGGTGATTCCACGATGTTGGCATCAAACACAGCACTTTTCCATATAGTAGTTGGGGACAATGTATACAATTCTTTGAGGCAGGAAGTGTTCCTCAGTGCATTGCCCTTAGCCAGTATATCCCAAGGTAATAGTTGTTTCTGGGATTATCTCCCCTCCCCCACTCCCTATCATGGCCACATTTAACTAACTCTACAAATACCCTGTGTAGGATGGAGAACAAAGCTGACAATTCGTCTCTGGGACAATTAGTGATGGGGGCGCTGAACCCTGGAGAATTCAAGGGCCCCATGCATTATGCGGTATGGAAAGAAATGAGAACTGTTCTTAATCCAGGTAAAGAAGCAACCAGATCCAATTGCTTGATCTTAAAATGAAATTGATTTCCCCCCCCCCACATTCCTATCATGGAAGAAGGGATGGGGAAGCTTAATGCAACAGACTGAGATGGCAAAAGAAGTTATTCTGATTAAGGAAAATCTAACTTTGCTTCCACTTGGAAACCACTGTTGGACTTCTTGCTCGTAACTGAAAGAGGCGCACATTTAATTTTGGGATTTGACAGTTGGAACTGTTTATGAAATAGAAATACTGTGTATTGATGTTTATTTTAGAATAAGAGGATAATGTATTTCATATCTGTACCAAAGAAAATTAGCATATCGTATAGATGGGCCTTGTTTTATTGTGTGTCAAGTCATTTGGAGGCATCTCCCAGGCTTCACCAATCATGTCCTTCCTTCCCCAGACATCACCTTCATCACCTTGGATCCCAACACAGCCCACCCCAACTTGGTTCTCTCCGAAGGGTTGACCTGCGTCTGGCATAACGACACGAAGCAGATTCTTCCAGATCTTCCAGAAAGATTTGACTGCAGCGTTTCGGTCTTAGCTTCTGAAGGATTCACCACCGGGAAGCACTATTGGGAAGTGGAAGTGAAGAAGAAGATCAAGTGGACTCTAGGAGTTGTCCGGGAAAGCATTAACCGGAAAGGGAATTATCCCCTCTCACCCAAGGAAGGCCACTGGTTGATCAAGTTGAGGAATAAGAACGAGCTCAAGGCCGTAGATGTCTACCCCAAATGTCTAACCTTGTCTAGCAATCTGTGCAGAGTGGGAATATATTTGGATTACGAAGGAGGACAGGTGTCCTTTTACGAGGCCACGGCCATGTCTCACCTCTACACTTTCACAGACACATTCACCGAGAAGTTGTACCCCTACTTTTGCCCATGTCTCAATGACTCGGGAGAGAACAAGGAACCACTGAGAATCATTGCTTTCAATATGTAGAAGCACGGGGAAGATGGAGCTGTCTCCTCAGCCGATATGTCTCAGCCTAGCTCTGTGGGAAACAAGGAGCTGATAGGATTGTGGGGTATGGTCCCCAGGGCCGGCCGAAGGGCCCAACCAGTTCCCTTGGACTTCTGCTGAGGTTTACTCCCCGCTCTTATCAACAGTAGAGTAGTTCCTTTGTCCCTTTCTGTGGTTCAGCTAGGCCAGGGGTCCCCAAACACGGCAACTTCAAGACTTGTGGACTTCAACTCCCAGAATTCTCCAGCCAGCCGTGTCTGTTTCTTTTTTTCTCTTAGCCTCCTAAAGTGGAGAGAGATTGCAGAGGAAGGGATTACAAGAGAGTAAGCTATGCCGGCTGGAGGATTCTGGGAGTTGAAGTCCACAAGTCTTAAAGTTTGCCACGTTTGGGGACCTCTGAGCTAGGACAACCGTCACGTTTTGAAAAGGGTTGCCAGATGTCTCCTTGGCCACTTAAAGAGTCTTTCCAACGTGGGTCATCCGATTTCTTTGTGGGAGAATTTCCAACTGTCAGGTTGAGTCGAAGGATGTATCCCCAAGCTATTAGTGTTCCATTCCATAACATTATAAGAATAAGAATAATAAAGGTATCTTGATCAAATCAAAATGAAATGTTACATTGAAGCGTGGATCTTTTTCCCCACCGCCTCTCCTCCTAATGTTTGATGGGAAGCTCCCTTCTTCAGAACCGGTGTGGAAACAGGCAAAGGTTCAGAAACTTGACGAAATAATAACCGGCCAAACTTCATTCCCCCTGATTTATTTTTTTTAAATAAGTTCAACAGGTAGCTCTTGACTTAATGCCACACCTGAGGCAAGATTTTCTGTTGCTAAGCGAGACTGTTGATAAGTGAGTGTGCCTGGTTTTATGACCTTTTTTGTGTGTGGCACCGTTCAGGAAATCACCACAGTTGTTAAGCAGATCTCACGGTCACTAAGTGAGTGTGGCTTCTCCCACTGACTTTGTTTGGCAGGGAAGATGGCGCCCATATGCCGGCTGCAAAAAAACTCAAATTGTCATCATGTGACTGTGGGGGAAATGCTTTGACAAGGGCACAGTAGTGGTAAGTCATTTTATTCAGTACCCTAACTTGAAAGGGTCACTAAATGAATAGTTGTAAGTCAAGGACTGCCTGTGTTGGTGAAAAGTAATCCAGCCTAAAGAGAGGCCTGAATCTATTTATTGCAGTGGGTGGATTTGCTGTTTCCAAAAACACACACACACAAAAAGGAATACCCATAAACTTTTACAAAGAACAAATATACTGTATATATATAAAGTATATATATATTTGCAGTAACTTCTTTGTGTTTGAGTACAGGCAGTCCTCAACTTAGAAGAGTTCATTTAGTGACCGTTCAAAGCTACAACAGCACAGAAAAACCTGACTTGTGTTTTTCACACTTACGTCCTTTCCAGCATCCCCATGATAACGTGATCTAAATTCAGCTGCTTGGCAACTGACTCATAGTTATGATGGTTGCAGAGTCCACGGGGAACCCAGGCTCACTTAACGACCGTGTGACCAATGTAACAGCTTGCTTAATTCACTTAACCACTGTGGCAGGAAAGCTCGTAAAACAAGGCCTCACTCGGTTAACAAATGGTTCGCTTGGCAACACAAATGTTGGCCACCATTATGGTCGTAAGCCGAGGACCTCCTGTACTCCGAAGCGAAAACCAGCTGTCGATTTGAGTTACATTGCCATGATGTAAAAAGGATATTGAGATTCTGGAAAGAGTGCAGAGAAGAGCAACCAAGATGATTAGGGGACTGGAGGCTAAAACATACGATGAACGGTTGCAGGAACTGGGTTTTGTCTAGTTTGATGAAAAAGAAGGACTAGGGGAGGCAGGATAGCAGTGTTCCAATATCTCAGGGGCTGCCCCAAAGAAGAGGGAGTCAAGCTATTCTCCAAAGCACCTGAAGGCAGGACAAGAAACAATGGGTGGAAACTAACTGAGGAGAGAAGCAACTTAGAAACAAGGAGAAACTTCCAAACAGTTAGAACCATTGATCAGTGGAACAATTTGCCTCCAGAAGTTGTGAATGCTCCAACACTGGAGGTTTTTAAGAAAAGATTGGATAACTATTGGTCGAAAGGGGTATAGGATTTCCTTCCTATACAAGACCTCCAAAGTCCCTTTCAGCTATGTTATTCTATTCTATTCATGTCTTGGTTGTTGGGTCTCTGCAGTTGGCAAGGAACCAACTCCCCAATTGCCAAATTGCAAAACCACCAGAGGGCAGGATAAGAAGGAATGGGTGGAAACTAATCAAAGAGAGAAGCAATTTGGAATTAAGGAGGAATTTCCTGACAGTTAGAACAATTAATCAGTGGAACAACTTGTCTCCAGAAGTTGTGAATGCTCCAACACTGGAGGTTTTTAAAAAGATGTTGGATAACCGTTTGTCTGAAGTGGTGTAGGGTTTCCTGCCCAGGCAGAGGGTTGGGCTAGAAGACCTCCAACGTCCCTTCCAACTCTGTTATTCTATTCTATTCTACTCTTTGCCTTCTGTTGTTTTGAAAGATCACTCTTAGCAGGACTGATTGATATTTTGCAAAAGTCATTCTTTGGAATCCGCCAGCAGGTTTCAGGGCCTCTTTTGATTTAGCTGTCCTTAGAACGTCCTGACCGGAAAGGAGAAAGAAAACGCGGCCTGTGATTTGCATGCAGCATCCATGAGGGAGAAATGGGCACCTGGGTGCCATTACGTTGCAAGGAAACAGGACCAGACGCATGTATGCAAACTGCTTCCTTCCGTGGGTGGGCGGAGTCATTTCGGGGCCTTTCGTTCGGATGGAAAGAAAACGGGGATAATAAAATATGGAGCTTTGGGAGACCCCAGCTCGGACTCGCAGCGGGATGTTTAGGGGCCACAGCGCCTGGTTCTCGCAGAGCGTTGCCCCAGAGATCCGCCGCCTTTGGGGTGAGGGGGGCCCAAAGGAATCCTTGCCGGGAGGGAGAGGGCAGAAAGCAGGGGAAGCCCCAGGGCTGGGCTGCTGGGGGTTTGGGAGAGCCCCTAACTAAAATTCTGTGCAGTTCAGAGAACCCCCAAACCCCACTCCTGGCTGGCCCCGCCCACCCTGCCCCGCCCATCCCAGGTGTCCCCACACAGCCCGTTTTGGATGCAGGTAAGTGCAGAATGTGGGCTGAGGCTCGGGAAAGGCGAAAAACGGGCCTCCTGGATGTTTGGGAAGGCCGGAAATGGGCCCGCTTCCGGCTTCCAGAGAGCCTCGGGGAAGCCATTTTAGCCCTCTCGGAGGCTCGAGAAAAGCCTCCGGAGTCTGGGGAGGGCAAAAACGCCCCCCCTCACTGTGGTGCAGGAGGCCAATTAGACCACCCCCACCATGGCCACGCCCACCCAGCAACCGGGCAGAGAACCGCTTGGTAAAACGTTTGAGGCCCACCCCTGAGAAGCCCCCATTGGGGTGACAGGGTTCCCCAGGGTGAGATTAAGGCCTGCTGGTTGAGTATCGGCTAGGGGGGAAGTCAAAAAAGTCAAAATGGCGCCCATGCTATTAAAAAGTGCCTCCCCCAAGCCTTGAATTTTGTTCATGGCGGCTGGGGGCATGGACCCAGAGCCCCCAAAGCCAGAGGGAAGTTTCTGTGCCGGGGAACATTGAACCCGGAACAGCTGGTCCTATTTTTAAGAACCGTTGCATGCAGTCCTCGAATTACGTCTGCACAGAGGACCAGAATGGTCGTTATTAAGTGAGCCGCACCCTACTTCGTGACCTTTTTCTTTTTTCTATTTTTGCAAACCACTGCAGTTGTTCAGTGAATCATGGAGTTGTTAAGCCAATGCAGCTTTCTCTCTCCCATTTCGGCAAGCAAAGCCAAGCCGGTAGGTCCCGGTAAGCCACCTCATAACCCTAGGACACTGCAGCCTGTGTAAATTGCATGCTGGTTGCCATCTGCCCAAATTTTAATCCGTGAGGATGTTGTGATGGTCATAAGTGCAAGGACTGGTTTTAAATCACTTTTTTTCCGGGGCCATTGGAACTTCACTTTTTAAAAAAATTAATTTTTTTAAATTATTTTTTTATATACAACAAACCATTCCATGCATCGACTTGGCTACATATTTCAATTATTTGAACATTATAAATGATATTCTTCTTATCAAATCTAACAATACATCAATCTTCCTGTATATATTCCCATATACATAATAATATCACACATTATAACTTTTTTTTAAATTTCTCTAATTGCTCTATAAATACATCCAATCTTTTTTAGGTTGTTCTATTCTCTATCCATTGATAAAAACACATTCCATACCATGTAAGATTCAGTTGCTTCTTTTTCTTTAATTTCTAGTGTCAGTCTATTCATTTCTGCACATTCAAATATTTTTTTCAATTATTTTTCCCTCTATCAGTATTTTATCACTTTTCCAATTTTGAGCAAATACAATCCTAGCCGCTGTTAGAACATGTACAATTAAGTAAACCTTTTCTTTACTATAACTTCCTGGTACCCTTCCTAATAGGAATATTTCAAGTTTCTATATGTTGTTTAATCATTTTTTCCAACCATGTGTGTATTTTAGTCCAATAGAGGACCATTGGAACAGAGGTGGGTATTCAGCAGGTTCTGACCAGTTCTGGAGAACCGGTAGTGGAAATTTTGAGTAGTTTGGAGAACCGGCAAATACCACCTCTGACTGGTGATTTTATAGTATCCTTCCCCTGCCACGCCCACCAAGCCACGCCCACAGAACCGGTAGTAAAAAAATTTGAATCCCACCACTGCATTGGACCTTCAAACAGTCACTAAACAAACACCTGTATCAGGATTTACCTGTATCACAATTACTTGTGTCAGGATTTACCCAGGGCTTCCAAAAATCTAGATTTTTTAAAAAAACTTTTCAGTCTTTTTCCCAAGAAAAACCTAACTCTTGGAAAACCAAGTCATTTGCAAAGAACATACTTTACAGGTGCTCCTCGACTTACCACTACAACTGAGCCCAAAATTTCTGCTGTGAAATGAGACAGTTATTATTAAGTGAATTTTGCCCCAATTTATACGTTTTTTCTCACCACCGTTGTTAAACGAATCCCCGTGATTGTTAAGTTAATAAAGCGGTTGTTAAGTGAATCTTTCTTGTCAGAAGGTCGCAAAAGAGGATCACATGATCCCAGGGCCCTGCGACCGTCGTAAAGATGAGCCAGTTGCCGAGCACCTTTGAATTTTGATCTCGTGACCAAGGGGGATGCTGCCACGGTCATAAGTGTGAAAAACGGTGCTTAGTCACTTTTTTCAATCACGTCGTCACTTTGGTCACTAAATGAACTGTTATAAGTCGAGGATCACTTGTATTGCAACTTTACATTTTACGTTGCATGATCAAGGGCCTTTCCCTGCGATCTTTTTCTGCAGTTGGCGAAGGAGGTGTGATTGTGAATTCCGAAGCTGCCGATTACCTCTTCAGCAGCAATGCTTCTCACCCTGATACAAAAAGGTATTGCAACTCCGCTTGGATCGGTATCTTCGATAATCTTATTTTTCCAGTCTTTAATTTCTGACGGGGGTGGGGGGGGGGGAGAACAAATTCTTAAGAGCTGAGAGTGTGCTGCATAGCAGCCTAGAGGTAAAGATGCTCGCTTCCCACTTGGAAAATTGAGAGTTCAATTCTAGGAAGCGGCAGAGGTTTCTCTATCAGGGCTCAAAGAAAAAAAAAAGTCTGCTGTGAACTCCATGTAGGTGTTAGGAAGGGCACCTGGCCAGTAAACTCTGAGCTCTATTCAGCTTCCCCGACTCTACCCTGAATAAAAGGATTAAAACAAGGGTCCCCAAACTTGACAACTTTAAGACTTGTGGACTTCAACTCCCAGAATTCTCCAGCCAGCTATGCTGTCCCAAGTCTTAAAGTTGCCAAGTTTGGAGACCTCTGGATTAAAGGGTCGTAATAAATAAATAAATAAATAAATAAATAAAGAGCTGTGAGTCTTTAGAGTCTTGTGCCATATAGATAATCATGCATATACATAAATTAATCCGCACATACCCACCGCACCACAAAACTGGGCACCACATTGTAAAAAAATGCTCCAATTTTGCCTGCTGTGGGTATTTAATAGAGATGAAGAAATTACTTTATACTACCAACTCACAGACTTACCAGAAATATTCTGCTTTCCCCCAAATCTTCACTGCCTTCCCTTGTGAAGTTGAGATCTAACACAATCTAAGCAAAAAAAAAAAAAAATTCAATTGTTTCACCTGACTTTCATCATTTTCCTTCTTCTTTGCTTAGGATACACCAAAGTTTAGACTATCTGGAGGATCGAATCACGGTGTTTCATTCCTGCTTTCTGACTGAGAGTATCAACGCCGAAAGAAAAAACACCGTAGCTCTAGGACATTTCATTCTCCTACCAGCCAGCTTGCAAAAAGGTAGTACGTATGGACCAGAATGAGCAATAAATTTAACAACAACAAAATTTGTCTGTTCTGTGTCCTTGGGGAAGACTCGATAAGTGGACAAAAATGCCAGATCCGATCTAAACATCTGTCTGATTGCACATCCTTGTTCTTATATTTGTCCCAAATTATGGCATTCCTTAGCACTAAATTCAACAGATGATGTTATCTTTCTTTCTTTCTTTCTTTCTTTCTTTCTTTCTTTCTTTCTTTCTTTCTTTCTTTCTTTCTTTCTTTCTTTCTTTCTTTCTTTCTTTCTTCCTTCCTTCCTTCCTTCCTTCCTTCCTTCCTTCCTTCCTTCCTTCCTTCCTTCCTTCCTTCCTTCCTTCCTTCCTTCCTTCCTTTCTCTTTCTTTTGAAAGAGGAGAGCAAGCAGGAATTCCAGGAAATGCCTCTGATTTTTATTCACTCTGAAATGCTTGCAAATGCTCCTCAGGGGTGGGAGGAATAGCTCTCTAGAAATATGTGTAAAATTGTCAGTGCAATCAAGATGTTCAAAGTACTTCCATTCCTTCCACTTTCTAATGGATGCCTGCAGGCGTGCACGAAATGTATACCTTGCTTTTTGCTTTGGGTGGACTATATTAGACAACCACGTCGTTCCGAAAAGAACCTGTATAAAAGAACAGCGGATACGTTTAGCAAGGAAACCCCATCAACCAGTTGCAACTTCATACTGTATATTATAAACAGAGATGTCATGGAGTGTGGGTTTGCACATTTATGGTTATGTATGCAGACGAGATCCATTTGTTTCTCTAACTATATCAGGTTCGTGCCATATTGTAAGCGTGGGATGAATCTTGTTAGAAATTTTCCAAGTGGGGAGATAAATTTCCAGATAAGGTTGGAAAATAGATGTTATTATTCTATTATAAAAGATGCATTGTATTTAATTACTGTGCACGGTAAATTTGGCAGCCAGTATAATTGCTAGTGAAGAATGACCCTGTTATTACATTAATAACTGAATAACTGTTCCTTTCTTGAGTGGGTATTTTTTTTTCTTTTTTCCTTTTGCCTTCACTGTAGAAATTAGGGGAAAAACCAGCCACTTTATATGGGAACAGATAACCAGTCCAGTCCAGTTACACTACGGTCCACTTACACTTCAGGTAAGAAAAATATCTAGAAGGCAACAGTTAACAATATTATTATTATTATAAAACCCAAACTACAAATATTTTCTATTTTATAACAATATTATTACCCGGTGTTTTGAATTTTGTTTTTTTTTCCTCAGGCAAAAATTGTTCATAGAAGGTGCCCATACTTGCCCCAAATAAGAAAATAAGATTTATGGGGCTGATTTGAATTTTTTTAATAAATCGACATAGCCAGATGGAGTAATGAGAAATGAAGGTTGTTTTTCTGTCCGCAGTCTGGTCCAACTCCTGAGTCAAAAAGCAACAAGAACCAAGAACAATTGAGAAACAAGAAGGAACTGGAGAAATGGTATAAATTTAAATGGAATCAACGATAGGAGATTGATATGTATTGTAGGGTAACGTATTGACTGAGAATGGCTAATAAGTCTAATTAATCTGTTTCTCCTTGCTCTTGAAGATGATTAATCAGAGCAAAGCCTACATCCTTGATTTTTAGTTAGCAAGATGTTAGATGAGAAAAATAATAAACTGAAATTAAAAGCAGCCCTTCTAGAAGACCTTCAAGGTCCCTTCCAACCCTAGAATTCTAATACTTATGGGGTTTTTTGCAGCCAAGGTCCAAGTTCACCTGAAAGAGGAAAGCTAACATACGTTCCCCTTCAAGATTATCCATCAAGCAACATGGTGACAGGTAAATAAAATATGTGATGAATGAGTTATTAAGACACATAACTCAGGAGATCAATGGCGAGGTTCTGTATTCTAATGGCTCATGATGTTGGACAAATGGTTAGAGGATGGTGTGGGAGAACTTTCATCTCTCTCTCTATCTAAACTCCCTTTTTATTATCCAGTAATCCCTTAACTCAGAATAGAGTCAGGATGGAGCTGAGTGTTTACTGGCTGACTGCCCTTCCTGACACCTACGGAAAGTTCACAACAGATTATTTTTAATTTGCGCCCTGATAGAGAAGCATCTGCCACTACCTAGGATTGAACTCTCAACCTTCTGAGTGGGAGGCGAATGCCTTCACCACTAGGCCATCATGGTGTTCTATCATCCACCCTCCCTCCCACCCACCCACCCACCTGTCTATCTATCTATCTATCTATCTATCTATCTATCTATCTATCTATCTATCTATCTATCTATCATCTACCTACCTACCTACCTACCTATCCATCCATCCATCCATCCATCCAAAAGGTCTGTCTGCCTGTCTTCCTGCCTGCTTGCCTTCCTACCTACCTACCTACCAGTATATTTATCTACCTACCTACCTACCTACCTATCTACCTGTCTCTCTCTCTCTGCCTGCCTCCCTGCCTCCCTGCCTATCTATCTATCTATCTATCTATCTATCTATCTATCTATCATCTGATTAATGCATATTTATTAGCATTTCTTTTCTAGGTTATACTTCTGAGAAAGTATTGAAGAAATTTCTCGGGGAGATACGAGATTTCATTCCTGGTTGTTCTGGTTATTTTGCATACTGGATTCCAAACGAAACCAATGTTTTCTCTGATGTGAAGATGAAATTAAAGAGGAAGTAATGAATAACTTCGGATCCTTATGAAGATCAAAGTTTGGTTCTCAATTAACTTCCCTGCAGTTTTTATTCCTTCTTTTTTTTTTTTTTGTCAGTAGAGTTTGGAATGTTATTTTTGCAAAAGCTGTTAAGTTGCCAATGTTGTGAAGTTTCACGCTGCTCTTTGTGTGGATGATTCAATCCGACCAATTTAGGGCAGTTCTTAGAATTCCAGTTATTAAAATGTTGCAGCTGTTTTAATGAAATTGATGTGTCTTAGATTCATTGTGTTTTATAATAATAATAATAATACTTTATTGTCATTGTACGTATATACAAAGTATACACGTACAACGAAATTCACATAACACCCAGAGACCAGACTCAACATGCACACACACATGACAATCCCCAAACACCCCCCCACCCGCCAAAATTCCCTGCCCCCTAAAAACGCACAAGCATCCACACAACACACCAAGTAATCCTGTCCAACAGCTCACTGATGGTGGTCCTTCAATTCATTGTTAAGTGCAATTATAGCTCTGGGATAAAAATTGTTCACAAAACATGTTATCCAATACATGCTTGACAAAATAGATAAACAAATAAAAATAAATAAATCTTGCCAGGCTGTGCCAGAAGGTGGCAGCATTGAACCAGCCTGAACGGCTCACAAAATAAATAAATAAATAAATAAAAAGAACGAAGCAATACCAACACAGCACTAGAGTTATATTACAATATATGGTAGAATTGTACAAAACACCTTGGAGGAATTGCAGTGACCAATTGTTGTGAATCAATAAAAAGTAACTAGCCCAAATGCAAAGCAGGTTTTGGAAGCCTGCACACCTGATTGGTCCTTAAACAACGAACAAGGATTGGTCCAAAACAAGTCCCTGATTGGCCAATATTAGGACACTTCTTATTGGGTATTAGTTGAACTTGTTGCACATATTATTGGTTAATAGGGTAGCAGCCAACCCTATAAAAGGGTTACTGCTGCCCATAGCCTTGCTCTGTTCTGTTCTATCTACTGTTATTAAAGAGTTGAAGTCACTGGTCAGATGTCTGGTCTCCATTATTCTCCAAACTTAACACAATTACTTCACATTGTGGCCTAGAAAAGGAGAAGGTATTCAGGAAATCGCCTGGAATTCAGCCCAGCCAAAGGACAGTTCTTCTCTTAATGCACAGCACATCTAATATACTGCAGTATCCACCCACAGTTCATCATTGTGAATTACAGATACAGGTGCTTCTCACCTTACAACCATTTGCTCAGTGGCTGTTCAAACTTACAAATAAAATAACCTGCGACCGGTTTCCACACATACGAATATCACAGCCTCCCCTGTTAAGTATGGAGAATAACGGAGACCAGACATCTGACCAGTGACTTCAACTCTTTAATAAAGTGATAGAACATAACAGAGCAATGCTGTGGGCAGCAGTAACCCTTTTATAGGGTTAGCTGCTGCCTTATTAACCAATGAAAATGTGCAACAGGTTCAAACTACTGACCAATAAGGACAGTCCCAAAAGTGGCCAATCAGGGACTGGTTCTGGCCCAATCCCAAGTTGTTGTATAAGGACCAATCAAGTGTGCAGGTTTTCAACCCCTAATTTGCATTTAGGTTATTCACTTTTATTGATTCACAACATCCCCTATGGTCACTAAATCAAAATTACGACAACCGACATGTATTCATGACAGTTGCACAGCCTCGGGATCACACAATCCCCACCTGTAACTTTACCAGCTGGCTTGAGAAACCAAGTCAAGTTGGAGGGGGTTGGGGAAGCCAGATTCATTTAACGACTGCATGATTTGGGTTGTTTTTTTTTAAAGATTAACAAGAGTTGGAAGGGACCTAGTAGGTCATCTAGTCCAACCCACCACCCAAGCAGGAGACCCTACACCATTTCTGAGAGATGGCAGTCCAGTCTCTTCTTAAAAGCCACCAGTGATGAAGCTCCCACAACTTCTGAAGGCAACTTCTGTTCCATGGGTTGATTGTTCTCACTGTCAGAAAATTCCTCCATATTTCCAGGTTGAATCTTTCCTTGATCAGTTTCCATCCATTATTCCTTGTCCGGCCTTCGGGTGCCTTGGAAAATAGCTTGACCCCTTCCTCTCTGGCAGCCTCTCAAATATTGGAAGACCACTATCATGTCTCCCCTGGTCCTTCTCTTCCCTAGACTAGCCAGGCCCAGTTCCTGCAACTGTTCATCGTATGTTTTAGCCTCCAGTCCCCAAATCATCCTGGTTGCTCTTCTCTGCACTTTTTCTAGAGTCTCAACATCTTTTTTATAGTGTGGTGACCAAAACTGGATGCAGGATTCTAGGTGTGTTCTTACTAAGGCTTTATAAAATAGTTTTGGAGACATGACATGAGTGCCTTTGGAGGCATGATTCAAACTCTCTAACCAAGTTTCCATCCATTATTCCTTGTCTGGCCTTCGGGTGCTTTGGAGAATAGCTTGACCTCTTCCTCTCTGTGGGGCAGCCCCTCAAATATTGGAAGACTTCTATCATGTCTCCCCTGGTCCTTCTCTTCACTAGACTAGCCAGGCCCAGTTCCTGCAACCGTTCATCGTTTGTTTTACCTTCACAACAGTGGCAGAAAAAGAGTCAACTCAACAACCGCCTTGCTTAGGAAATTTTGGTCTCAGCTGTGGTTATAATTCAAGGCCTGTCTGTATAATACATTTATGGGGCACAGACGGAAGAAGGGAGAGCTAAAGAGAGAGAGAGAGAGAAATCTGTAAGAACACATGTTCTTACAAATAAGAACTCTTTGGTTTAATGCTATTCAGGCCACTGCCATTCTCTTCCTGGACCCTGAGCCAAATGTGGTCAAATCTGTTTGTCTAGGAATGAGTTATGGCGAAACCACCGTGTTCTTTTGACCTGTTCTGTGCTGTTTGCAAGGGTGTTTCGTAACGTTTGTAGAACAGCCAAGTCAGAAATAATTTCCCTTTTGCAGAGTTGCTACACTTTCATCTTGATCCCATTTAACATTGCAAGCAAATAACCACATAAAAACGAGATTGTCCTTTCCTTGGACCACGTAATTAGAAAACAGGACAGCACTTTTTCGATATTTGAGGGGCTCCTACGAAGACCAGGGTGGTCAAACTATTTTCCAAAGCACCAAAAGGTAAGATAAGAAACAATGGTTGGAAACTAACTAAGGAGAGAGAAGCAACCTAGAACTAAGGAGAAACTGAGTGAGAACAGTGAGAACAATTAACCAGTGGAACAGCTTGCCACAAGAAGTTGTGGGTACTCCATCGCTGGAGGTTTTTAAGAAGATATGGGACAACAATTTGTCTTAAATGGTATAGGGTTTCCTGCCTGAGCAGAGAGTTAGGCTAGAAGACCTTCAAGGTCCCTTCCAGCTTTATTATTCTATGTTCTATGAATTTTCTACAAATTTAGAAAAACCTCCAGGAGGAGCCCTTTGATCAAACTTGGGCGTGTGATGGAGAGCGAGGAGGAAGTGGAGAGGCGGACGTGTGATTTCAATTCAGGCAAATGATCACTAGGTATGATTTCACAAAGGAGATTAATGTTCTTAAATCTCTATGGCATGACTGTGCTGAAAAAGGGGGAAAGTCGTTTTAAAGCAAGCCGCTGTTCTAAATTATTAAGCTAATTTACAGATGTAGGGAATGCAAAAAACGCCAGATTCCTCTTTCAATTTCAAAGGCATTGGAATCTTCCCTCTCCCTGGAGATTGGAAGGAATTGAACTATTTCTATTAGATTGGATTACAGGATTGTTTCATTAATTAATGGGACAGATCACAGAATTAATTAACTACTACACAAGATGCCATAAAACCCTTTGACTGGAATTAGCACTGTGATTTCTTTTAATTTCCAACACACGGCGTACAGGAATTATATTATGATTTCCTTAATTTCCAGCATCAAATGCAGGAAAGATATTGATTGGGTGGGTATGGATGTTACTTCGATTTAAAAATGTCCATGCATTGGTGCATCCCATTGAGATAGCATGCTGGATAACTCTAACTGTAGCATAGTTCAGTGTGTGGGGTCCTTGGTCAGAAGTGGTATTCAGCAGGTTCTGACCAGTTCTGGAGACCCGGTAGTGGACATTTTGAGTAGATCGGAGAACCGGCAAATCCCACCTCTGACTGGCCCTGCCAACCCCACCTATTCTCTGCCTCCCATTGAGTCCCAGCTGATCAGCTGGGTCTTCTTTGGTTGCCCTGCACAGGAAAATGGAGCTGGAAAGCAGGTTAGTGGGGTGGGGAGGGAAGGGGGATTTTGCAGTATCCTTCCCCTTCCATGCCCACCAAGCCACGCCCACAGAACTGGTAGTAAAAAAAATTGAATCCCACCACTGTCCTTGGTGATCTCTGAACTCGGTGGTTTTCTTGCTGACATGTCATTTACCACACCATGTAACATAATCAGTACACTAATCATCCTACGCATCACTGGAGCACTGATGATGTTACCTAGTTTGGTCATGACATGTCTGCAAGAAAAACCACCAAGCTCAAAGAGCACCAAAGACCCATGTTCAACCCTGAGCTATCAATATTCTCTTCTATTGATAGTTCAGTGTTCTTCCAAACAGGCATCAACCTCTGGCCAATTGATTCTTACAACAATCCTTCCTATCCAAGGATAAAGTTGGTTTGAGGAAACTCAATGAGCTTCATGATGGAACAAAGAAGAAACCGTGGATTATTACTTGTCTGATTCTTTAGTCATATCTTCCCTAATTTGGTTTCTTCTACAAATTCTGGACCACAGTTCCACCTTCCTAACTACCACCTCTGACGGGACGATGGAAATTAGTGGCAAAACCTTGTTTCTCGTTCTGTTGGGCATTGGCCCAGGAGGATGTGATGATTGCTAAGATGACATTTCTCCACGGAGCCAATCAACCCCTGTGCCATCCAATTAGAGAAAACTCTGACTGGGCTGGATCAATCATGGAAAATTAGGCAGGGCAAGGGAACGACGTTGCTTTGACTG